AAGGCTTTCATGGGTTGCTGTGAGTTTTTCTGGCTTTGTGGCCATGTTCCAGCAGCATTCTCTCCTGACATTTTGCTTCCATCTGTGGCTAATGGCATCTTCAGAGGTTCTGTTGGCGGTGAAGCAAGTGGAGTGTGTGTGTGTGTATCTATCTATCATCTATCTATCTATCTATCTATCTATCTATCTATCTATCTATCTATCTATCTCTGGGGTGCTCCATGCAGTGATGCTGGCCACATGACCTTGGAGGTGTCTACGGACAACGCCAGCTCTTCGTCTTAGAGATGGAGATAAGCACCAACCCCCAGAGTCGGACATGACTGGACTTAATGTTAAGGGAAAACTTTTACCTTTACTATATATCTGAGGAGTGTCCATCGGAAACAGAGAATTGGAAAGAAGGGGTGGTCCATTGGACTATGTCTCTGGAGACCATGGTTCAAATCCTTACTCTGAGGATCATGGTTTGAACCCCATTGGGGAAGTCACACTCTCTCAACTTTGCAGGAAAGCCATGGCAAAGCTCTTCTGAACAAATCTTGCCAGGAAAACCATGTAATAGAGTCACTTTGGGGTTGCCATAGTTTGGTAATGACTAGAAGACACACAATAATGAGAATTATTTAGAAGAGCTTTGCCATGGCCTTGTTGCAAGCTTGAGAGAGTGTGACTTGCCCAATGGAGGTTCAAACCATGGTCTCCAGAGTAAGGATTTGAACTGTGGACTCCAGAGACATAGTCCAATGTACCATCTCTCCTTTCCAATTCTCTGTTTTCGAACTAAACTAGCATCCCCTCCAAGTGTCTCAATTTGGGAAAAAACATTCTGGTTCATTCTCTACCATCCCATTTGTTCAGACGGTATCAAAATGTCCCTGTTTCCTCCCACTATCCTTCATTTGTCCTCAGCTTATTTCAGTTCCCGCCAAGTGACTTTAAAACGCAAAAGGGATTTGCGTTTCATTAACTCAGCAGTTGAAAATAAGAGAAAATATTCCTGCTTGGTGGAATGGGGTTGGACTAGATGGCCTTTAGGGGTCCATTCCAACTCTGTTATTTTGTGATTCTAAATATGTTGACATAGGATTATTAATAAGGACCGTCCTGCAAAAATGGGACACTTGTCCAAATGATATCTTGTAGCATGATTTGCACTGGCAGGGCATCAGAATATATGGGAATGCCTTTACGGAGCTAAATGCGGTTATTTATTTATTTATCGTGTCAGGAGCAAACTGAACAGCTGTATAGCATTAAAACAAACAAACAGACAAAACACAAAATTTGCAAGTTTGGTAGTTGATTAAATGTCCTTTGACCAGTATCTGGCCACTTGGAGTGCCTCTGGTGTTGCCCCAAGAAGGTCCCCCATGGTGCATGTGGCACGGCTCGGGTTGCATTGCAGCAGGAGGTCAGTGGTTTGCTCTTCTCTGCCCTCGCATGTCGTGGGCTCCACTTTGTGGTCCCATTTCTGAAGGTTGGCTCTGCATCTTGTGGTGCCAGAGCGCAATCTGTTCAGCGCCTTCCAAGTCGCCCCGTCTTCTGTGTGCCCAGGGGGGAGTCTCTCATTTGGTGTCAGCCATAGATTGAGGTTCTGGGTTTGAGCCTGCCACTTTTGGACTCTCGCTTGCTGGGGTGTTCCAGCAAGTGTCTCTGTAGATCTAAGAAAACTATTTCTTGATTTAAGTCCTTGGCATGCTGGCTGATACCCAAACAGGAATGGGCCAGAGATGTCTCTGCCTTGGTCCTTTCACTATTGGCTGCTACTTCCTGGCGGATGTCAGGTGGTTCAATACCAACTCAACAGTGTAATTTCTCCAGTGGTGTTGGGTGTAGACATCCTGTTGTAATGTGGCATGTCTCATTGAGAGCCACATCCACTGTTTTAGCGAGATGAGATGTGTTCCACACTGGACATGCGTACTCAGCAGCAGAGTAGCATAGCGCGAGGGCAGATGTCTTCACTGTGTCTGGTTGTGATCCACAGGTTGTGCCAATCAGCTTTCGTATGACATTGTTTGAGCGCCCACTTTTTGCTTTGGTCCTTTCATTATTGGCTGCTACTTCCTGGCGGATGTCAGGTGGTGCAATACCAACTCAACAGTGTAATTTCTCCAGTGATGTTGGGTGTAGACATCCTGTGGACAGTAATGTGGCATGTCTCATTAAGAGTCACATCCACTGTTTTAGCGTGGTGAGATGTGTTCCACACTGGGCATGCGTACCCAGCAGCAGAGTAGCAAAGCGCAAGGGCAGATGTCTTCACTGTGTCTGGTTGTGATCCCCAGGTTGTGCCAGTCAGCTTTCGTATGATATTATTTCTAGCACCCACTTTTTGCTTGATATTCAGGCAGTGAATGGTGTGTTTCTGGATGGCTCTTGGGGTTGGACTGGATGGTCTGTGGGGTCCCTTCCAACTCTGTGATTCTGTGATTGTTTGACTCTATGATTCTCCTGATGACTTGCTGTTCTCTTTCTCTCTCTTTCCTTCTTGCAGGGCCCCCTTCTGACGGCACCATGGAGCGCCTGCTGCTGCTGTGCCTCTTGGTGCTCCTCAGCAGTTTGCTGGCCCGATCCCAGGTTTGCCCCAAGCGCTGCATGTGCCAGAACCTCTCTCCGTCCCTGGCCATCCTTTGCACCAAGACGGGCCTCCTCTTCGTGCCCACCGTCATCGACCGGCGCACAGTGGAGCTGCGCCTGACGGACAACTTCATCACTGTCATCCGCCGCAAGGACTTCTCCAACATGACCAGCTTGGTCCACCTCACTCTGTCCCGCAACACCATCAGCCAGATCCTGCCCTACGCCTTCGCCGACCTGCGGGGCTTACGGGCCCTCCACTTGGACAACAACCGCCTCCTCCTGATCGGCCCCGACCAGCTCAAAGGCTTGCCCAACCTGCGCCACCTCATCCTCAGCAACAACCAGCTGCAGGACATCTCCCCTGGAGCCTTCGATGACTTTGCGGCCACCTTGGAGGATCTGGACCTCTCCTACAACAACCTGGTGCAGGTGCCTTGGGACACCATCCGCCGCCTCAACAACGTCAACTCCCTCAACCTCGACCACAACTTGATTGATTACGTCCCCGAAGGGGTCTTCACCAACCTCCTCAAGCTGGCCCGCTTGGACATGACCTCCAACAAGCTCAAGAAGATCCCGCCGGATCCTCTTTTCCTCCGGATCCCTGTCTACGCCAAGTCGAAAGGTTCCCCGCTCTCCTCCTTGGTCCTCAGCTTTGGGGGGAACCCATTGCATTGCAATTGCGAGTTGTTGTGGTTGCGGAGGCTCACCCGAGAGGATGACTTGGAGACCTGCGCTTCTCCTCCAGACCTTCTTGGGAAATACTTTTGGACCATACCTGAGGAGGAGTTTATATGTGAGACTCCATTCATCACCCGTCACACGGGGCCTTTGGTGGTGACGGAAGGAGAAGGGGCCGTCCTCCGTTGCCGTGGGGTGGGCGACCCAGAGCCTTCCATCCATTGGGTCTCCAGGGAGGGCAAGGTCATCGCCAACACCTCCCGGACCATCTCCTACGACAACGGCACGCTGGAGATTCTCATTGCCACTGTCCAGGACAATGGGAACTTCACCTGTATCGCTTCCAACGCCGCTGGAGAAGCCACCACCACTGTTGAGTTGGTGGTCAACCCGTTGCCTCAACTCTCTAACGGCACAGGGTCCAAGCTGCCCGAGGCCGCGGGGCCCTCCGACATCCTCACCTCGGCCAAAGCCGCTCTCCCCATCGGTGCCAATGAAACGGGGGCCTCTCCGGACAAAGGAGTGGTGGCTTCCGAAGTCACCTCTTCCTCGGTGCTCATCCGGTGGTACCCTCCGTGGCACGTCCCCGGCATCCGGATGTACCAGATCCAATACAACAGTTCCTCCGACGACATCTTGGTCTATAGGTGAGTTGCTTTTGGGATCTGGAATGGAAAGGTTTGGGGTACGTCCAGTAGGTCTTCCAGTGTGATTCTATGGTCAACTTGGTTGGAAGAAGTGGTAACACTTGTGTATAGAGCAGTTATTTTTCATTTCTGGTTTTTAGAATTAAAGGTGTTTTGCTTCCTGCCTGCATTTAGAGGTCACTTTCCCCCTTCCTCCCCAAAGTCTTTAGTGCTTTATTATCTTTTGAGACAGGAGCATCACGAGGCCTTACAGATATGAAATCCAACTTTAGGGACTCCTTTTACCAATGTTAATTAACGTTCTTTTGCCTCTTTGATCTGTAGGTCACTTTCCTCTTTCCCCCAAAACCTTTAGTGCTTTATGACCGTTGCTTTCAGAAAGGGTGGTCGCCTCCCAGCTCCAGTGCTTTTTGGATGACATCAACTACCTAGATCAGTCACAGTCTGGTTTCAGGCCTGGTCACGGCACCGAGACAGCCTTGGTCGCCTTGGTGGATGACCTCCGTAGAGAGCTGGACAGGGGGAGTGTGACTCTGTTGGTTCTCTTGGACATCTCAGCGGCTTTCGATACCATCGATCATGGTATCCTTCTGGGTCGACTCTCTGGGATGGGTCTCGGGGGCACGGTTTTGTCGTGGCTCCGGTCCTTCCTGGAGGGTCGATCCCAGATGGTGAAGCTGGGAGACGCCTGCTCGGACCCCTGGCCCTTGACCTGTGGGGTCCCGCAAGGCTCTATTCTGTCTCCCATGCTTTTTAACATCTACATGAAACCGCTGGGAGAGGTCATCCGGAGTTTTGGAGTTAGGTGCCACCTCTGCAGATGACACACAACTCTATTACTCATTTCCACCCAACTCCAAGGAGGCCTCTCAGGTGCTGGACGAGTGCCTGGCCGCTGTGTCTATCTGGATGAGGAGGAACAAGCTGAAGATCAATCCCGACAAGACAGAGGTCCTCCTGGTCGATCGTAAACCGGATCGGGGTATAGGGTGGCAACCTGTGCTGGACGGGGTTACACTCCCCCTGAAGTCACAGGTCCGCAGTTTGGGAGTCCTCTTGGATTCATCACTTACGCTTGAGGCTCAGGCGTCGGCGGTGTCCGGGACGGCTTTTGCACAATTGAGACTCGTGCGCCAACTGCGACCTTACCTCATAAAGGCTGATCTGGCCGAGGTGGTCCATGCCTTGGTCACCTCTAGATTGGACTACTGTAATGCGCTCTACGTGGGGCTGCCCTTGAAAACGGCTCGGAAATTTCAGCTAGTCCAGTGGGCGGCGGCCAGGTTATTAACTGGTGCTCCTTACAGAGATAGGTCAACCCTCTCATCCCACCTCCTGTTCAAGGAGCTCCATTGGCTGCCGTTCATTTTCCAGTCCCAATTCAAGGTGCAGGTGCTTATCTACAAAGCCCTAAACGGTTTGGGACCTGCCTATCTGCGTGACTGCATCTCCGTTTATGAACCCGCACGCTCCCTTTGTTTATCCGGAGAGACCCTGCTCACGATCCCACCTGCGTCGCAAGTGCGGTTGGTGGGGACGAGGGACAGGGCCTTCTCTGTGGTAGCCCCCCGACTCTGGAACACCCTCCCCAAGGACATCAGACAAGCCCCTACGTTGGCAGTCTTTAAGAAGAGCTTGAAGACCTGGCTATTCTGGTGTGCCTTTCCAGAATAGGAAACTCCAGCAATACGTCCCAGAAGCACTTTATTAGAGATTTAAGATTGTCCGCACACTGCACTTTACCCAAAAATCCTTATATTTCACTTGGCATACTCAGCACTTTTTAATCTGTACCCATTAGACTTGGCCTGGCCTAGTTTTGTTGTGATATGGTGTACTGTGTTTACTGTTTACTGTTATTGCTTTAATGTTTTGATTTGCTTTATGGTTTATGTGTATTTCTTATATTGTTGTTTTATTGAGGCCTTGGCCTTTGTAAGCCGCATCGAGTCCTTCGGGAGATGCTAGCGGGGTACAAATAAAGTTAATAATAATAATAATAATAATAATAATAATAATAATAACATGCCTGGTTTTTAACTGGCTGCCAATACAAGTGCAGGTGATCACCTACAAAGCCCTAAATGGTTTGGGACCTGCCTATCTTCGTGATCGCATCTTTCCTTGCGAACCAGGATGTACTCTAAGATCCTCTGGAGAGGCTCTTCTCTCGCTCCCACCGCCGTCTCAAGCGTGGTTGGTGGGAACGAGGGAGAGAACCTTCTCTGTGGTGGCCCCACAGCTCTGGAACTCTCTTCCTAGGGAGATCAGTCAGGCCCCCACTCTCTCCATTTTCTGCAAGGAATTATAACAACAACAACAACAACAACAACAGCACGGCTGGCGGGGACGAGAGACAGAGCCTTCTCAGTGGTGGCCCCTCGGCTGTGGAACGCCCTCCCCGCAGACATTAGATCGGCCCCCTCCCTACTGGCATTCAGGAGAAGAGTGAAGACCTGGCTCTTTGAACAGGCGTTTAATTAAGCAGTGCAATTAATTGATTGATTATTGGAACATGGAATAATGGACAAGGAGATCGGATTATGACTTTACTGATGAGACGTGATGGATTAGTTATATGGATGTATTGATGTTATATTGATGTATTGATGTATTGTTATATTGATGTAGTTGCCATGATTACTGTTTTAAATGCTAATGTTGTGCACTTTGTATACTGATTTGGTTGTAAACTGCTCTGAGTCGCCTACGGGCTGAGAGAGAGCCGTATACAAATGAAGTAAGTAAATAAATAAATAAATAATAATAATTTTTGTCGTGTCAGGAGCAACTTGAGAAACTGCAAGTCGCTTCCGGTGTGAGAGAATTTGCCGCTTGCGAGGACGTTGCCCAAGGGATGCCCGGATGTTTTGATATTTTGTCATCCTTGTGGGAGGCTTCTCTCATGTCCCCGTATGAGGAGCTGGAGCTGATAGAGGGAGCTCATCCGCGCTCTCCCCAGATTTGAACCTGCAACCTGTTGGTCTTCAGACCTGCCAGCACAGGAGTTTAACCCACTGTGCCACTGGGGGCTCCTATAATAATAATAATAATAATAATAATAATAATAATAATAATAATTTATTTATTTATTTATACCCCACCACCATCTCCATGATTAGATGTGCCTGATTGTTTCCTCTCTGTTGTTTTGCTGTTGTAATTTTAGAGTTTTGTTCATTTTCATGGTCTCCTCCTTTCTGTTGAAATTGTCCACATGCTTGTGGATGTCAATGGCTTCTCTGTGTAGTCTGACATGATGGTTGTGATGGTTCCTCAGGTGCTCTGCTATGGCTGACTTCTCTGGTTGAAGTAGTCTGCAGTGCCTTTCATGTTCCTTGATTCGTGTTTGGGCAATGCTGCTGCGTTTGGGGGTCCCAGTGTAGACTTGTCCACAGCTGCATGGTACATGGTAGACTTCTACAGAAGGGAGAGGATCTCTCTTGTCCTTTGCTGAACATAGCATTTGTTGGATTTTCTTGGTGGGTCTGGATACAGCATATTATTTGAGAATGCAGAAATGCTGGACCACTCTAACAACCACCATGTCAGACTACAATTTCCAGGCCATCAAATGCTAATCAAGGTGGTCAGTTGAAACATTCACACTTAGCTCCAACAGTCAAGAGTTCTTTGTCCCACCCTGGTCATTCCATTTTCCTAGTTCCAACAGACCTCACTACCTCTGAGGATGCTTGCCGCAGATGCAGGCAAAATGTCAGGAGAGAATGAAACTGCTGGGAGAGGTCATCCAGAGTTTTGGAGCTAGCCACCTCTATGAAGATGACACACAGCTCTACTACTCCTTTCCACCTAACTCCAAGGAGGCCTCTCGGGTGCTGGACGAGTGCCTGGCCACTGTGTCTATCTGGATGAGGAGGAACAAGCTGAAGATCAATCCCGACAAGACAGAGGTCCTTCTGGTCGATCGTAAACCAGATCGGGGTATAGGGTGGCAACCTGTGTTGGACGGGGTTACACTCCCCTTGAAAGCACAGGTCCGCAGTTTGGGAGTCCTCTTGGATTCATCGCTTATGCTCAAGGCTCAGGCGTCGGCGGTGTCTGGGAGGGCTTTTGCACAACTGAGACTTGTGTGCCAACTGCGACCGTACCTTGCGAAGGCGGATCTGGCCAGAGTGGTCCATGCCTTGGTCACCTCCAGATTGGACTACTGCAATGCGCTCTACATGGGGTTGCCCTTGAAGACGGTCCGGAAACTTCAACTGGTCCAGCGAACGGCAGCCAGGCTGCTCACTGGGGCGACATACAGAGAGCACACCACCCCTCTGTTGTGTCAGCTCCACTGGCTGCTGATTCAGTTCTGAGCCCAATTCAAGGTGCTGGTTTTGACCTACGGTTCCGGTCCAGCGTATCTGTCCGAACGTATCTCCCTCTACGTCCCACCACGGAATTTAAGATTATCTGAGGGGGCTCTGCTCTCGACTCCACCGTTTTCCCAAGCGAGGCTGGTGGGAACAAGGAGCAGGGCCTTCTCAGTGGTGGCCCCTCACCTGTGGAACTCACTCCCGGCAGATATCAGGGCATTGACATCACTCCTGTCCTTCAGGAGGAAGGTAAAGACATGGTTGTGGGACCAGGCCTTCGGGCAATCTGCTAACTAGGAAGGACAACCAGACAAATAGGACCGGCAGGACTGATAAATGTGGAAGGAAACTCTGAACTATGAGATAGCGAACATTGACCGGCAATAAGGAGTAATTGGTTTTTGTATCGGTTTGTATAAACTTTTATTGGTTTTATTGGTTTTAGTGGGTATAGATGTAATGTATTGTTGTTGTTTGCTAATTTGCGTTATTCTGTTTTATTGCTGTTGTACGTTACGGGCATCGAATTGTGCCTTGGATGTGTAAGCCGCCCTGAGTCCCCTTCGGGGTGAGAAGGGCGGGGTAAAAGTAAACCAAATAAATAAATAAATAAGAAGGGTACTCAATTGCTGCAGTTGAAATCAATACCATCTGCCTCTTTGCTCTGCTCTAGAA